CTTTGCTAATATGAAATAGTTTCCATACTTTCATAAGCAGCTCAAGAAAGCTTCCTAAATATAGATTACACTGCACAGAGGAGGAGCAGCAGGAAGAGGAGTGGAGAAGGTAGAGCAGGGGGAGGAGCAAGAAGAGGAGGAGGAGAAAGAGGAGCAGCAGGAGACGCAGCAGCAGGAAGAGGACTTTCCGTGCTTAATTTTTATTTAATCTCTCATTTCTGCGTAGTGGGTATGACCACAATTTTACAGATGAGACTACTGGGCACACAGATGTTAAACAGAACAAGATCACATAGAACCAGTAGCAGTAGTATTAAAATCCCGGACTCCCAAAGGCTCAGCTATTTAAAATGGACATAGCCCTGAAGATGTTAGCTGTTTAACAAAAACTGACACTCGTAAATATTACTACATACATAAGGGACTATGCTTAAAAGTCTTAGTTATTAAATACAGAAGATTTTTCACTTAAATGATTATTTATTTTTGTGCTTCTTATACATGAGGAAGAATGAACAGGCTCAGGAATGGGAAATCAGCTCATGGCTGAGCCAGATGGTCAATCTCAGTCCTCCTCCAATCCAGGGCTCTTTCCCACACAGCACATGGCCCTGAACTCTCCGGTACTTCATGCTCACAGATTGGTATCTTTTCCCATAGTCCACATCTTATCAAACATCACTTCTTTCTACTGATGGATATTTTTCTGATGTATATTTTAAAACACAGTAACAATTCTGTTTAAATCTTTGGTTCACTGAGCCTCCAGAAGCAGTCAATGGTTATTAAAGCTGTAACTGGCTGCTGAATGCCCATCATCACTCAGGCAACATTATTACTGTCGCTCAGCAATGTTAGCCGTGTGCTGCAAGAAGTTTTGAAACATGACACACCTGATTATTTAGGCAGGGGCACTGACCTCTTTTCCCTTAGACTGTCAAATGACAACAGCCAACACAACAATAGCCATCCAGTGTGAATGAATCAAAATTATTTCTTTTTTGTCAGTTGGGAAAAAATATATTTTTTGGTGTGTGGCAGAATTTTGGTAATTTGTTTATGTGTGCCAGCAACGAAAAAGATCGACCATCACTGCTATAACCTGTACTAGCAAAGGGAGATGTCCACAGGACCTGGGCGTGGGCAGCACATAGGTGTGGCTGCTTTGCAAAAATGAGCTTTTCTCAGCCCAACATGTCCTTGTGAAATATTCAGAAGAGGAAAACTAGAATAATAAAAACAACTTTGCGTAATGTATCAAAGCACAAAAAGGTAAACATTAATTTTCATGAGCCCTTGGAAGGTAAAAATGGCACTATGATAACTAATTGAAAACAAAACAAGTAAAAAATATAACAAAACCGAACAACCTATATTTCAAAACTCAATACATTTCTCTCAATAACAAACTACATAATATAATGTGAAGCAAAATATTACTTGTAAATAGACAGGGAAAGTTTCCTCAAGCTTGTTTTTCCTTTTCCGGTACCTCTTCTTTATTTTTTCAGTGTTTTCAGTAACAGAAACAGATTCATCAACAAGAGTATCTGGTAACTGCTCACTCCAACCTGAAAACAGGAGCCACATTTATGAATGCATGGTATTTAAAATTTCCAGACAGATCCGCCCAAAGTAATTATATAGCTTACCAATATACACAGTTCCATATAAACAAATAAGCTTTTTCTTTTGAGGTATAATTGACATGCAACACTGCATAAGGTTAAGGTGTATAGCATAATGACCTGACAAACAAGCCTTTCACAAGTGTATCTCAAAGCAAGTGTACCAATATAAGTAAATTTTAGGCATCATAAAATTTCATTTCATGTCTATTTAGTATCAGCATGTTTCCTACTGTCTCTTAATGAGCATTTCTCCGCTAGCAAAGCACAGCTTGTTTTTAGAACCTCAACATTTTGTTAAAAAATAATTAAAATGAAAATGCATGGTGCTCATGAGTATGGGGAAATGGGTACACTATTAATTTAAGAAGTATAGCCTCAGTGTAGAGTTTACTGGAAATATCCAACAAAAGTCTTTTTAGAAATGTGTGTCCTTCAATCCAGCAACTCCAAGGGGTTTATTGCAAATTAGGTATTTGTAATACATACATATTGTGATAAGATATGACTATGAAATATACTTATCAATATGTGATGAATGATCCATCTTAACTCAGAAATGGAAATAAACAAAGTCTGGACTATGAAATTAGTCCAGAACAAGCATGCTACTTAGAGCAGGTGAGCAATAATGACATCTCCTCCACTTCTCAGAGCAAATGGCACATCCCTTTTGAAAATCAATGTGGGTCCTTTTGTTGTCAGATTACATAGGTAGACTGACTCTTCTAAAAAGTACTAAAAACAGTGGATAAACACTTATTTAAAATTTTTTTAATGTACTAGTAATCTAGCCAGAAAATGAATCCTCAAAGACCAAAAATTAAGGTAAAACAAGAATCAAAGAAATTAGCAAAGAAATAAATAAAACTCTCTGAAAATTTGTAAAAATCCACTGACCTTGAACTCTATAGTTTTCAGAGCCTGAGTAGGAATGGGGAATAGAAGACAAAGTTTAAGTCTTCTCAAACTGATTAACCAGAGGTGCTTATATGAAGGTGGGACCCTGAAGGACTCCATGCTCAGGTTGGTTTAACAAAAATAAACCCCTCCCCCACCTCCACCAACAGCAAAGAAAACTGCTTGTCATCTTGTCATAGAATTGGTGCTGGATAGAAAGGGAAGAAATAAAATTCCTCCCTGAGAATTCATAAAATCAATATAGCCCTAATGTGTAAGAAGCTTGAATTTACACAACATAGGTGAACCAACAAACACTTCAATCTAAGAACTCAGCTCAAAGGAGTCCTGGTGTGGTATTACCTCATGTTCCTGGAATTGACAAATATAAATAGTCTCTGAAAGAATCCACCTTCAATTCAGTTCTCAGAAAGTTCAAAGAATATTCTAAAGATGATGAACTCACAGTGCAGTAAAATCAATATGCATGCATGTGGACCCATGTATCTCACATAATAAACACAGGGAATAAGGCACAGGGGATGAGCCAGCAGATACAGAGTAGAACCAGACAGCTGATATTTTAAGCTAATTAGATACACAGAAATGAATGTTGGCTGATGCTAGAAGAAGAAACTACTGAAATATCAAGAAGGCAGTTTAGAAAAGGGTGAAAATGCAAATAAATTGAAACTCAATGGGTGATACAGGTAAAGAATAGAATATTGAACTAAAAGAATTGAAATTAGAGGAGAAAAAAAAGAGACAGAACAAAAACACAAAAAATAGTTTCACTAATCATGTCACATTTCTTAATTAGGACTAATTATAGCCATGTTGAGTCACATTAGAAACTTCTTTAAAATCAAGAACTCTGCTTGGAGCACATGCTGAACACAGTAATTTTCCTTCTCCTATCCTATATAAAGCATTTAAAATATGTAAGTGAAAAAAAAAAATAAAAAAATAAAATAAAATAAAATATGTAAGTGTACTGATCATGACCATCATGATTACAAAGTCTTATTAGAATCGGCTCTTACGCTATGGCTTAAGCAATGATTCAGTTTTCTTTGACTCTCTAAGTGAAGATGACAGATTATTAATTGGAAGATGTATTTCTAAAACATGACAGAATCTTGTTAAAAATTGCTGGGGCTCACTATTATTTTCAACTGCATAGTCTAAAAGTTTCCACTTTCATTCCAGAGAAAGGCCTCTGTGTAAAGGCCTTAAAGTACCTGATACATAACTAAGTAATTCGGTCCCTACACTACCTATACTTACCACAGGAAAAAAAAAGAAACTTATTTTAAAATCTCAAAGTAATATAGTCTATTAGATTCAAATCATTTCCTTACCAAACCTAATTTCTGTATTACTGGTATAACTGGACAGGCGCTCAAATCCTTTGATCATACGCAGCAATGACACTGTAGCATTATTTAGGATAACTCTTTCCAGTAGCAACAGTAACACAAACAAAATCCATACCTTCATCTCTGCTAGGTAACTGCTCAGAAATAGAGCCCGAGGAATCTTTCCTGATCACAGATCTTTTGGCTTTTCCTTGCCCGGTCCGACTTCTTTGCCGTACCATAAATCCACCGATACCTATCCCCAAAGAAATTGTATAACCTCATAATTAATTTATCCCTGTATATCCACAGTAAGTAGGGTGAAACTGCTTAGTCTTACATAATGAAGCATTGTACAAATTCAACATAGGCTAATTTAAATAATTAATCTCATTTTAATGAAAGACTATAAGATTCTGGAAATAAGCAAATAAAAAGGTTAAAGACTTATCACTAACCAACCAAAACAGGACATTCGAGGACAGCAAGACTGCACACCTTTCCTCTTCTACACAATGCCAGAGTAAATATTCTTTACTTAACAAATATCTATAACTCATATATTATCACTTACTAGTAAATGGTCTACTAGCTGAGGGAGAAAAGAGACTAGAATACACTAGATGATGCAAACAAAATTCAAATGATTTCAGAGATACTGTGTCAGTCACTCCTCGTAAGACCCTTAGATGCCAAAGACATGCATGACTCTATAGGTAAAGGCATGGAAACTGGAGCCAGATTCTGGAATTTTGGTCACTACTTATTTAACTTTTCAGACTCCTTACTGGTAAAATAGTGATATGTACAGCACCTCCTCATACATAAAAGAATGAAATAAATTAACAGATATAAAGTGCTTGGAATAGTGCGTGACAATCAATGCTTTTGTCATGTGACCCAAAAGTCTAAAAAGATACCTAATGGGCCACTCAGAGGTATGGACAACTTCCATGTGAGGCAGAAAGAGAAAAAAACAATTACATTTTTCTAAAAGTGTATTTATAAACCTCACTAAAGGCCCAGTGCACAAATTAGTGCACAGATGGGGTCCGGCGGTGCGCCCGGTTTGAGCTGGCCCAGCCGGGTAGAGGGGATGCAGGAGGTTGGCCAGCCGGGAGGGTTCCAGGGCATGTTCACCCGTCTCGTCAGTCCCGATTGGCTGGACCCCAGCAGCAAGCTAACTTACAGGTAGGAGTGTCTGCCCCTTGGTGGTCAGTGCAGTTTAGTGGCCTCAGCATATCATTAGCATATTACACTTTGATTGGTTGAACGGACAACCAGACACTTAGCATATTAGGCTTTTATTATGTAGGATAAGTGAAGCCCCCCCCACCCCATTCTATTTTTCTTAACATAACTGAGCTTTCGATCAGAGCATGCAGCATGGCTCACACCTGGTCTGTATGGTTTCCGCTTCCTCTTTCTGACACCCTCTGTTCCTTCCACACCCTTGGCTTCACCATCCACAGCTTCCCGTTCAGGACTAGATTCTGACTTTCCATCACAGTCCATAAGTTCTCCTTCTGGAAAAAAGTAAATATACAATGAAAATTGGGGAAACCTACCAAATACATCATTCCTACGTAACAGGAAACACAAAGTGGCTGCCAAGCCCTGCTCCATGCATCCCAGAGTAGGAAAGGTGTAGGAGAGATGACGAAGTCCCACATTAGCCGTAGAACTCATGCAACTTAAGGCAATTATGTCAGAAAAAGCAACTAGTCTCCACCATGCTCCTCACACATGCTGGGCACTCCTGCACAGGGCCTTTGTCTGCATGCTCTACCTCAGGTAATCAATCTAGTGGCTCACTCACCCAACCCTTCAAACTCAGTGCTCAACACTGCTCTCTGTTCACCTGATCCTGCACCCTTCCCTATGCCCCCCTACTCCTACTTACTCGTACTCTATTTTTTTCCATAGCAGTTACCAAGCACATTGTAATTAACTTATTATTATATATTTCAACAGTCTTTCCTCCTAACATGAAAATGTAAGTTCCACAAGAGGAGAATTTTATCTGTTCTGTTCACTGATATGACTTCCAACATCTGGCACACAGGAGGCTTTCAATAAGTACTGTTCAGTGATGAGATGTTGTAGAACAAAAAATAATAATTACTTTATTTCTCAATCAGAGGAAAAGACATTACCACCCTAAAAATAAGCAAGCCTGTGGTCATCTGCTTCAAAGATAAGCAAAAATATAACTCATATTGAATTGAATACTACTAAAATTATATTGTCATCTCAAGAATCCAGCTAAGAAAATCTTTTCTTTAAAAATATTTTTTTATTTACTTCAGAGAGGAAGGGTGAGGGAGAGAAACATCAATGATGAGAAAGAATCATTGACCGGCTGCCTCCTGCACGCCTCCCTACTATGAATTGAGCCAGAAACCCGGGCATGTTCCCTGGACTGAAATTGAACCGTGAACTCCTGGTTCATAGGACAATGCTCAACCACTGAGCCATGCCAGCTGGGCGAAAAATCTTGATTATTAGATCAGGAAAATGTTTATAAACACCTGTGACTATAACTGTATATTTAAATATTAAGAGTGGCGTTTCTATTTCTAGAATAGGATGCATGATCACATTTTGCTTTAACCTAACCATGGTGCCCAAGCTTATAGCCTTGAGAAGGTTTATGCTGCCCTCTGAACTTTCCCACCTGCGATCCTCCATACACAATGCTTGGGGAGGTCCTGAAGCTCTGTGCCAAAGGACACATGAAAAGGGAGGGAACCTGCACAGGCAGGTCCAGTAAGACAACCCACTTGGAAAGATCAGATATCATATCCAGGGTTATCTGAGTCAGTGGAATTTACCTTTAAAGAAGTCATTCTTATTTTAAAGGTTATTTTATCTACTTTAATTCTTGCAAATATACTGCACAAAAAATAAATTATTATTACCTCGACTATCATCCATTTCTCCATCCCGTGAATGCTCAGACTGGATGTCTGGAGGGGTCTGCAGGACGGCCACACTGTTCTGATTTATAATCTTCAATTTCAACTTTGGTTTTGACCGCTTTCTTCTTGGAGCTGTAGCTATGAGACTCTGCAACTGAGTCAACCCTGATTCAGTCAAGCACACACCATCCTGGGTGTAGGTCTTGGGTGGATCTAAAATTGTAATATCCAAGGATACAAATTAAAACTCTCATTTTAATTCTGATTGATAAGTTAATTCAAAACACACAAGAAGGCCTTAGCCAGTTTTGCTCAGTGTATAGAGCTTTGGCCTGCGGACCAAAGGGTCCCAGGTTCGATAATGGCCAAAGGCACATACCTTGGTTGTAGGCTCCTCCCTGGCCCAGGCCCTGGTTGGGGATGTGCAGGAGGCAACCAATTGATGTGTCTCTCTCACATCGATGTTTCTCTCTGTCTTTCCCTCTCTCTTACACTCTCCCTAAAAATCAATGTAAAAAATATCCATGGGTGAGGATTAATAACAAAAAGGTGGATATGAAATACTGAATGTGACTTCTATAGAGCAATTATCTATTAAATGCACAAATAATTAGCTAAGAGTACTTAATTAAAAGTAAGAGTTACTGCCCTCAACAATTTTTCAGTGGATAGAGCATCAGCCTCCAGACCAAAGGGTCATGGGATCGATTCCTTCCTGGTCAAAGGCATGCAGGTTAAATCCCCAGCCCTGGTCGGGGCTTGAGCAGGAGGCAACCAATCAATGTGTCTCGCTCATTCGATATTTCTCCCCCCCCGCCCCACCTCCCTCCCACTCTCTCTAAAAATCAATGGGAAAAATATCCTCATTCCCCGAGTGAGGATTAATAAAAATTAAAAAGTGACAAAACTTGCAATATTTTTTTTTAATGGTCTTCCTGGCCCTGTCTGATGTGGCTCAGTTGGTTGGGCATCATCTCATGCACCAAAAGGTTGCTGGTTCTTCAACTGCCAGTCAGGGCACATGCCTGGGTTTTGGGCTCAATCTCTAGTAGTGGGCATTGCAGGAGGCAGCCAATCAATGTTTTGATTTCACTTCAATGTTTGTTTCTCCCTCTCCCTTCCTATCTTCCTGGCATTTCTTTGTTCATGTATCAATGTAAAGATTTAGAAAGAAAGCAACGAAGCCAAAAGGGAAGCTTCAGTCTCGAGGTGTGAGCCTTTTCCTGGGAAATCCAGTCAGACTAAAAGATGAGGACCAATTTATACAAGAGAAACAAGAATACTGCAGAAGCCCATCTGGAAAGCAAAGTATCAATATAATCACTTACAGGGAGAGATACAAATAAGGAGAAATCCTGCAATATTTTTTAAATCCACAAAATTGCCATTCGTTAGGACAATTTCTGAACTATCCAAATATGTTTGTACTGGTGACAGCAAATGGAAGTACACAAAAGAATGAGAGCTTAATAAAAGTATATTTATCACCATTCCAGGCTGATCTAGTACAGAAAAAAATAGCAATAGATTGAGTTAATGCTGAAGGAATCTGTTAACCAGGTCTTATTCTCTGCTGATAACTAAGCAGGGTAATTATCAATGAAAACAGCAAATATGGACTAATGGTTATTTCATTGCCAACTGAGGAGATTTACAGGAATACTGTACCACTAAAACTAGATAAGATGGGCATTTATTTATCAATTATAGAAATGATTACTGCCCGGCCGTGGTGACTTAGTGGTTGAGCATCGACCTATGAACCATGAGGTCATGGTTCGATTCCCGGTCAGGGCACATGCCCGGGGTTGTGAGCTCGATCCACAGTAGGGGGCATGCAGGAGACAGCTAATCAATGATTCTCTCTCATCATTGATGTTTTTCTCTGTCTTTCCCTCTCCCTTCCTCTCTGAAATCAATAAAAATATGTTTCAAAAAATAAAAAATAGAAAGAAATGATTACCAACATTAGGGAATTTAGACTAGCACCCATATGATTAAGGTAGGTATCATGTATATGTGGAAGTCAGTTAAATCAATAATTATGCATTTATATCTTTTTGTAAACAACAGCCAAATAAAGCATTTAGACCTTACCTAGCTCCTTCACTTTCGTGACAATCTGTGCTACAAGTGAGGAGTCACAGCATTCTGAGGAAGGCACTGAAGTGAGAGAAAAAAAGTGACGTAATTTTCTTTTTCAAAAAGGTGAAATATATTCAGTGATTTACAAATGACTAAAATTTCTATTTCTGTACCCATTTTACTACAATAAATGCATGAAAACTAAATAGTGTTTAAAAGTTGTCTTTAAAACAAGCAGGTGAGACCTGACCGGAGTTGTCCAGTGGTTAGAGCATCGGCCTGCACACTGAAGGGTCACCGGTTCGATCCCCAGTCAAGGGCATGTACCTGGGTCTCAGGTTCACTCCCTGGCCCCTATTGGGCATGTGCGGGGAGGCAACAGCTCAATGTGTCTCTCTCACATCGATATTTTTCTCTCTCTTCCCTCTGTTCCTCCCTTCCACTTATCTGTCTCTGAAAAGCAATATAAAAAATATCCTCTGGTAAGGATTAACAAAAAAATTAAAATTAATAAACAAAAAGTTGAAGAAAATGCACACATAAGAAGAAAAAACTGGTAAAGATAAAGAACCAAGGTACTGGGATTTCTACATACTGCTAACCACCACAAGGTTATAAGCTTTAAAAGCAAAATTACATTATAGCTAAAATACATGCTTATTTTACTTTATGGAAGCAAATTGTTTTAATATATTAAGTGGGTTGATAAGAATTATTTACAACACAAATAACTTAATTTTCATAAAATATCTGTTAAAACATAGTTTCGCAAAAAGAAAACACAATTACTGTCAACCATCCACTGGTTCTGAACAGCAAAGAACAGGGTTGTAGCCAAGCACAGACTCCCTGTCTAAACCATACTCTTACCATTTGATGTCAGCATATAGGGTCTGCACATGCTACAGTCAAAACCAGTGTCCGCCACATTTTCCACTTCCTCTTCAGTATTTAAGTTTTGACAAATTGCATGCATCCACCTAAAAAGACCATATTTGTACACTTAAAAAAAGGAAATACACTAAGAATGGTTTTCTTTTAAAAATAGGAGTTGACAGTCTCCACACTTCAAATCCCTGTCTAGACCAAAATTACCCTTTTCCCCTAACCTTGCCTACTGACCCACAAACATTTTCAAAGCTGAGAAGGAAAGAAAAAGGAATAAAATCAAGTACTAGGAAGGGATAATGGTTTGATGGTCATCCCCTGAAGATCTGGGAAGTTTGTTGCACCCAGTAAGTGCATGGAAACTGCAAACTGTAGACTGAGTGTGTGTGTTTGTCAAGTGGGGCACCTACCGTGGGGTATACACAGCTCATACAAATGAGGCTGAACAGTAACCAGAAATAAAAAGAGCTGTCTTGCCTTAGAACACGGAATTGTGGGCGGAGTCCTGAGAATCCTGCAGTGCTGATAAAATACTACTAATATCACATGTAGAGTTAACTGCTCACAGAGCAGAGTGTACCATTAAAACCAAGACAACCGTCTTGATTCTGAAGCTGCACACAGACCACAGAGGGAGAGCACACAGATATTTAGTGTCTAGAGGAGCTTTAAGAAAAAGTGGCTAAAGGCCGAAACCGGTTTGGCTCAGTGGATAGAGCGTCGGCCTACGGACTGAAGGGTCCCAGGTTTGATTCCGGTCAAGGGCATGTACCTGGGTTGCAGGCACATCCCCAGTAGGGAGATGTGCAGGAGGCAGCTGATCGATGTTTCTCTCTCATCGATGTTTCTGACTCTCTCTCCCTTCCTCTCTGTAAAAAATCAATAAAATATATTTAGAAAAAAAAAAAGAAAGAAAAAGTGGCTAAAGGAAAACAGAATGTGTGAGGTCCTTTGTAAAATCAAATAAAACATTCAGAAACTATCCGAGAAAAATGCATACATGCAGGCAATAATTTGGCTGCATCTATTTTCGAGGGATTTATCAACCCTCAAAAAGCCCTACTAGTAACTTAAAATCTTTAGTCTGGAACTGAGAAGACAAAACTAGAAACTTCTGTGGGTTTCTAGCTCACTAAAAACCTGGAAAGCAAAGGCGTTGTTTCTTAAATTTAAAAGAGTTATTTTCTAATTTTCTTCTACTACATTTATGAGAGAAAAGCTTGCAAACGATGAGGAGAAAAACCGCCAGCACAATACCTATCACATTGTCTGCACTGCAGAATGAGGTCTTCCTCCCGGTAGTTTCGGTAGCAGATGGGGCAGGAAGACAGGCTTGCACAGGGGGCACACTGCGTGTAATTGTTCTGCCACTCACACCTCAGACCTGCAGACGTGGCTCCACAGTGTCTGCACCAAACACACCTGAAAGCCAATACCCACCACAAGTCGCAATTTTACTTATTCAGTTACTATATTTCCCTCCCCCAGGCCACAGCTTGGCTGGTCCCCATTCCTCTCTCACGAAGAAGAGTAGATGGAAATTACTCAATGTATATTTGAAAAATTTGATTAGTACCTATCATGGTAAATATGTATTATGCAATTAAGCAGACATGGCTAATTTTTAAAAGCTGAAGTAGCATAAACCCTAGAGTACCATTTGCACTTCCAGCCTCCTTTGGGAACCGTCTGCAAGGGAGGGTCCAAGCAGTAGGTGTGGTAACTGATGTCACAGTCATCGCACAGCAGGAGTCTCCCCGGGTCCGTGGCCTTCCCGCAGGCCTCACACACAGTGCACTCGAGGCACCGCCAACCTTTGCTGAGAACCACTTTAGTGATCTGGAAAAGAAACAGCCGCCCACGTGGTTTGTACGTAACCTACACAATGCGCATGATGGAATACACCATGTAACCAAATATGGTGCTTATGTACCTAAAAGCAGAAAAGAGGCAAAACTAACATTTACTGAGTACCAACAGTGGCCCAACACGGAGGTGGACACATTCATATACTTTGAGGACTCCCCCAACTGGACAGAATAAAAGAAAGCGGTAAATATTTTAATATCTTAATGCCTTTTCCCATCCGTATAACTATCCTGTGCAGAGGCTTATATGTCCACTTTACAGATGTGGTGACTAGATTTTACAGAAATCAAATACACTGCCCCCTTACTGTTAATACAAGAGGCCTGGTGCACAAAATTCATGCGGGGGAGGAGGGATCCCACAGCCCGGCCTGCACCCTCTCCAATACGGGGCTCCTCGGGGAATGTCCAACTGCCTCTCGCAATCCTGGACCGCTGGCTCCTAACCACTTGCCTGCCTGCCTGCCTGCCTGCCTGATCACCCCTAACCACCTCTGCCTGCCTGATCGGCCCTAACTGCTCCCCTACCAGCCTGATCACCCGTCAATGCCGCACCCTGCACCCAGGACCCAGGATTCCCTCGTCCGGTCGGTCACAGACACCCAGGACACGGGCTGGCTTTGCCTGGGCTGGCTGCAACTGCAGGGAACTATGGGCAGGTGGCTTTGCCCAGGCCGCAGGCACAGTTACAGGCACCCAGGACCACAGGGCGGGCAGCTTGTCCCTCTCCCAGGCCGCAGTCTAGCTGGTCCCCATTCCTCTCTCGCAAGCTCATTAGTGCCTGGCTGATCCCCATTCCTCTCTCTCAAGTGTTGAGTGTCTGAGCTGTTACAGTGTGAAGGTGTGACAGTATGATGACCATTTGCATATTAGCTCTTTATTATATAGGACTAGAGGCCCGGTGCATGAAATTCGTGCAATAGGGGGGTGGAGTTCCCTCAGCCCAGCCTGCCCCGCTCAGAGCAGGCGCTGTGTGTGTGTGTGTGTGTGTGTATCTGCTGGGGGCCTGTCCCCAGCCACACTATGGAGGCTTGGAGCAGGCACCACTCTGCGTTGATCTCTCAGGCTCCTGCCTCCACTGTGTGTTTTTCTCTCCCTTGAGCTGTGGCCAGGGTGGGGTGCTGCCTGCAGGGTGCGCTTTCCTGCTCATGGATCACCTAATCACTGCAGAGACCAGGGGCAGGCCCTGCTGGGTGTGCCCTGTGGGGAACTTTCCTGCTCTGGGATCGCCATGGGGATCCCAGGAGCAGGCCCACCTGGGAGCCACCTGCCCTCGGCACTTGCCTGCTCTGGGATCACCATGGGAAGCTCCGCGGCTAGGGGCGGGGCTTAAGCGGTGTGAGGCTTAGGCAGCACATGGGGGTCCCAGCTGGGGCGGGGCTTAGGTGACATGATCGCCCAGCCTAAGCCCGGCCGCCCAGGGCCGCACATGGGGCCTGGATGGCGTCTGGTGCTGGCAAACCCTGACTGCAGTATGCAAATTAGCCATCTTTGATGGAGGCTAATTTGCATATGGAGCAGATTAGCCAATGGGAAGCGTAGAGAAGGTACAGTCAATTACCCTTTTGTCTTTTATTTGATAGGACTAGAGACCCAGTGCACAAAAATTTGTCCACTCGGGGGGGGAGAGGGGATGCCTCAGCCCGGCCTGTGCCCTCTCACAGTCTGGGACCCCTCGGGGGATAACGACCTGCTGGCTTAGGCCTGCTCCCGGGTGGCAGAGGGCAGGCCCAATCCCTAGCTGCAGCCCCTGGTCAGGCTCAGAGGAGGGCCAATTGGGGGGTTGGGGGACAGCCTGGGAGACCTCGGGGGATGTCCAATTGCCAGCGGGGTGCAGGCCTAAGATGCAGTCCGAAATCCTTAGCGCTGCTGAGGAGGCGGGAGAGGCTCCCACCACCACCGCTGTACTGGAAGCCGTCGGCCTGGCTTGTGGCTGAGCAGAGCTCCCCCTGTGGGAGCTCACTGGCGAGCAGGAGGCAGCCCCTGCATTGAGCATCTGCCCCCTGGTGGTCAGTGTGTGTCACAGCGACCAGTGATTCCCAGTTGTTCTGCTGTTAGGGTCAATTTGCATATTACCCTTTTATTATATAGAAGTGCCTGTCCAGCCTGGGTGAGGGGCTAATGTCTGTTTGCAGGCTGGCCACAATCCCCAGCCACCCAAGCTCCCAGGGGAGGCTGGCTAGAAGCAGGTACCTGGGATTCATTTATCTTCTATAACTGAAACTTTGTTGCCATTAGCAGAGGCCACAGCCAGCTCAGGGCAGACAGGAAGCTTGGCTCTCTACATCGCCCGGGCAAGCAAGCCTCCTGCTTGCTCCAGCTCCACGGCTGCCGGCTGCCATCTTCATTGGGTTAATTTGCATATAGTCACTCTGACTGGCTGGTAGGCGTGGCTTAGGGCATAGCAAAGGTATGGTCAATTAGCATCTTTGTCTTTTATTAGTGTAGACTAGAGATCTGGTGTACAAAAATTTGTGCACTCGGAGGGTCCCTCAGCCCGGCCTGTGCCCTCTCTCAGTCTGGGACCCCTCAGGGGATGTCCACCTGCTGGCTTAGGCCCGCTGCTCAGGGGAGGGGGGGGATCGGACCTAAGCCGGCAGTCAGACATCCCTCTGGCAGCCCGGGAGCCCTCAGGGGATGCCCGCTTGGCAGCAGGGAGCAAGCCTGGGCGGCAGTCGGACATCCTTAGCACTGCTGAGGAGGTGGGAAAGACTCCCACCATCACCGCTGTGCTGGCAGCCGTCAGCCTGGCTTGTGGCTGAGCAGAGCTCCCGCTGTGGGAGGCAGCTCAGAGGGCAGCTCCTGCATTGAGTGTCTGCCCCCTGGTGGTCAGTGTGTGTCATAGTGACCAGTCATTCCTAGTCGTTCTGCTGTTAGGGTCAATTTGCATATTGCCCTTTTATTATATAGGATAGAGGCCTAGGGCACAGGTGGGGGCCAGCTGCTTTGCCTTGAAGGGTGTCCTGGATTAGGGTGGGGGTCCCCACTGGGGTGCCTGGTCAGCCTGGGTGAGGGGCTAATGATGGTTTTCAAGCTGGCCACGGCAGTGGGCTGGAAGCAGGTATCTGGGATTTATTTATCTTCTATAATTGAAACTTTGTAGCCTTGAGCGGAGCTCAGAGCTGGCCAGGGCAGGCAGGAATCTTGGCTTCATCTATTGCCAGGGGCAACCCAAGCCTCCTCCTCTCTCCAGCTCCATGGCTGCTGCCGTCTTAGTTGGGTTAATTTGCATATTTTCTCTTGATTAGCGGCAGGTGTGGCTTGTGGGTGTAGTGGAGGTACAGTCAATTTGCATGTTTCTCTTTTATTAGATTAGAAAGGATTTAAAATGTATTGACATAGTTTCCACTGGCATTTCATGAACTCATGCTTCTGAAACTTGTGTAAATTGCAAAAGCACCTGTAGTATTATGTTCAACATAAAACTGCAAAAATAAAAATAAAAACACGAACAAGTAAAGTGTGAGTTCCCAAGAACTTTTTATGATCTTAGAGGACTAGGACTTCTGAAGTTCACATTCACTCCTCTGTTTATTCTCTCAGGTAACATTGAGAATCTCAAAGTTTTTGAATACCTATATTTCTAAAATACTCGTCAAAGTAGTCATACCATGTAATAGTAAGAATTTAGAATCAACTTAGAGCCTAGAGCAGCCGTGGGCAAACTACGGCCCGTGGGCCAGATCCGGCCCATTTGAAATGAATAAAACTATTGAAAAAAAAGACCATACCCTTTTATGTAATGATGTTTACTTTGAATTTATATTGGTTCACACAAACACTCCATCCATGCTTTTGTTCCAGCCCTCCGGTCCAGTTTAAGAACCCATTGTGGCCCTCGAGTCAAAAAGTTTGCCCACCCCTGGCCTAGAGTCTATTAACAAAAAGGATCACAAAGGGCCTGTGTTATAAGCAATCAAGACAATAAAACTCAGATCATGAAGAATAAGAATCTAAAGCTACTTAACACATTGTATGCGGGAAACGTATTTATATGTTCTACCAGTGTAGTAGAGCATGGGACACGTATTAATATGTTTTTTATAGACTAGCGGTAGAATGCATATATAAATACGTAAACTAAAGTTATCGTAATTTTACTGAGCGTTGCCATTTGCGCAAAATATTAGCAAAAATGGCCCGCACCACCTGTCAGTAATTATTGAAAAACAACACCTAAAGTTCATTATGATGATTTAAGTAAGTGCAGTTTGCCCAAAAACATGTGGTCCCTGGCATATGTCTTAGAGATTTCTATGCGGTATGCAATGTGCTAAGAGAAAAATAAGTTAAATAAAGGAACAACTATTAAAATGGCATCAGACTTGCCCAGCCAGAGTGGTTCAGTGGTTGAAAGTTGACTATGAACTAGGAAGTCATGGTTTGATTCAGTCAGGGCACATACCCAATCACATGCTTGATCCCCAGTAAAGGGTGTGCAGGAGGCAGCCAATTGATGATTCTCTCTCATCACTGATGTTCCTATCTCTCTCTCCTTTTCCCTTCCTCTCTCTGAAATCAATGAAAAACCGTATTTTTTTTTCAAAAAATGGCATCAAACTTTATTTCAGCAGCCAGAGTTGGGAAGTTTAATTCTATGGAAAAATACTTTTCAAGGTACAATTCTTACTCAAGTAAACCAGTAATCAAGTGTGAAAGTAAAATACCTTTCAGATATCCAAGGACTCAAAATTCAGGTCCCATATAACCCACCTAATGAAGTTACTTAAAGGTACGAGGAACAAAATGAGTGTGTGTACCAAGAAAGGAAAGATATGGGCTCCAGAAAGCAATGACCTCAGTGAAGGAAAGCTTAAGGAAGACAACTGAACAAGGCCTAGATTGCAACAGGGGTGTGCAGGGAAGGGAAACACTCTTCCCAGAAAAGTAGGTACCTGCCAAAATAATCGGGTATGACCTAGCTTCTATAGCAGGTAAAAACAAACAGCATCACAAGCTGATGGAGAATCATGAATTCATGCACTTTCTTCTTCCTATTAAAAACTCCATGAAAAACAAAAGAAAGTCATGGTATGCTACTCAGATGTTCAGTGAACATTTACTGAGTCGTAGCCAACACTGTTTATTAACTAAATTCAGTAAAAGAACTACACTGGGGGATGCCGGGAGATTTATTAACCCTCAAAAAGCCCTACTAGTAACTATAGCAAGGAATGTATTTTAAGAACTAAGTTAGCATTCATTTCATTCACAGCAGAGTCACAGAATCCAAGTCAGATAAAGCAATAGCACCAGCATCCAATTTAAAGCTATAGAGTTCATTCACCACCAGGACCTGCAGATCAGAAGTGGCTGTAGGGCGTGGCTATAGGGTTAAGCCTCCGACTGACCTGTTGGCAAAGCCACAAACAAGTCCCACTTTAGAGGGCACAGTCCACTTAGCATAATTAGGATTGACCTTATGAGGCTCCCTAGATCCTTCCTGGGTAGCTAATGGGCTGTGGGAGGTGCAGTAAGTGCTGCCAAAACAAGTGAAACTCACAAGAACAGTGTAACTATGGTGACCACTACCTTGTTTACCTCTGGCTATAAAATAAAGGCTCAGCTTGCCTCTGGCCAGGCACAGGAAGATCCACCTAGACCCAGCTTATTCTCTTTGTCTGTCATTTCTTCATCCTTTCACCACCCTCTCTCAGGCTTTCGAACCCTTGGCTGAGCTGGCTCAGCACAAGTGGCCACCTGTGGAGAACAGGATTCAGTAGTGGGGGTGGAGCAACAGGGGGTGGGTCAGTCATTGTGAGGCTTTTAAAGCCATTTGATATTTTTAAGCATGTGTATTCATTAATTTGATTAGTGTACTAATTCACATAAATTAGTCTTACATTATCTTATTTACCAAATGGAGGCAAGAACCCTGGGTAAGGAAGAGCAGGGTGGCTTAGAGCAGCGGCCAGCAAATATTTGTAAAGGGTCAGATAGTGGATATTCTAGACTTGGTGGGGCATGTAATGGAACTTCATTTACAGAAGCAGTTGGTGGGCCAGATTTGGCCTGTGTACCATAGTTTACCAATCCCTGGTGCAGAAGAAAGACAAAGTGTAAGATAGACCCAAGGTATTTAGTGGTAGAACAAGTGTTTTATATTATATCTTTACTCCTACTAAGTTCTCCTCTTTCACAGACAACTATGCTATGGTCCTTTACACCCAAACTCTCAAATGACTCAGTTTACAGTCACTCTCCGGCACACTAATCTGATTGCTATGCCCATCACCACTGAAAATGCTCAAGCCAGTTAAGATCTCGTAACTCCCAAATGCAGTTGACATGTTAGTGTGTACTGGCCTCTCTGCAGTATTTCAACATTTGAACAGCCCCACTCCCCAAATCCCCCCTTAGGACAGATTCCAGGGCTCTCCTATCAACTCTTTTCCTCCTATTGACTGGTCTAGTCTTCATTTCTAAGAGCTCTTTCAGGTCCGGTATCATGCAGGGTCCCCACCATGTCTAACGGCGTGGTGCATGTGTTTTATAGTCTACTAGAGGCCCCGGTGCATGGATTCATGCACCAGTGGGGTCCCTCGGCCTGGCCTGTGGGGATTGGGCTGAAACTGGCTCTTTGACATCCCCCAAGGGGTCCCAGATTGCAAGAGGGTGGTTCTTGAGTGACACACCCCGAATCGGGCTTCCTCCTCTCTGGTTCCGGGTGCGTCACCTGAGAACCGCAGCTGCCAAGTGACCGCAGCTCAGCAGCTCCTGCATTGAACATCTGCCCCTTGTGGTCATTGTGCATCATAGCTACCGGTCAGATGGTTGAGCAGTCAAACAGTCACTTAGGCTTTTATATATAGAGATAATGCATATCTGTTTCAACTACAGTAAGGTAACTGGGATGCAACCTTGCTCCCATCATAAATACAGAAACTGGACAAAATGTATGAAGCACTCATTTTCAGACACTGGACAAAAGGCAGTCCAGGTCTGTGGTTTCTGAGAGGAGCAGGACAAGTGAGGTGAGAACTATGATATTCTGCCTGTAGACATTTTCCAGGGTGCGGCCGAGGGAGGGAGAAACCCAGCAGAGTATGATGGTCTCATCAAGCTTAAGCACACATGATGGAGCTCAGGGAGGCTGAGGCAGCTGCAGCCTGCGGGACAGAGGACTGGAAAGGAAGGAGCAGTCTACATAGCATTTCCCGGAGGCCTTTCGCTGAAGACATCTATGAAGCCAAACAGATCTCCACGACCAAGGCAACAGCTCCAGGGAATGTGTAAATTGAACATTATCAGAGTCCACACAATGTTGGAAAACATGTGGAACTTAACTAGTCAGAGTGGTGAATTGGAGGGAGGAAAGGGTATGACCAAGTGGCAAGGAAGAATAAACTAGCGCTGCCCCGGCCATCACAAAAGTGTCATCGGGGGAACCCCAGTGGGTCTGGGGGTCAGAACTATTTTCATAATTACATAAGACTTTGTCTTTTCCATGTTAATCCACTCAGTGATGTTTTACAGAGGCTGCATGATGTACACAACAGCATTACAATGACACCATCCAAGCTGTGCCTGTATACTTTTGTGTTTTAAAAAATTCCCAGTTAATTTCTAAAATAAAATATTCAATATTTATTATCCTCAGAAATAAAAACTCTATGGGGCCCTTGATAATTTTTAAGAATGTTAATGGTTCTGAAATCAAAATGTTTATAAAGAAGCTTCAAAAGTTTTAAATTCATCCACAAATCACTGCCACAACAAAAACTCAATATTTTTTAAAGAAAGAAAACCCAAACTCCCTACAATATACTACTTTAATTCACAATGTCCACATTCAATCCAAAATTACTAAATGCTATAAAAGCAGGAGAATATCTACCAATGAGCAGAACAATTAGTTAATACAGTGAGAAATGCCGGGTAAATATATACAAAGGCTTGAAGAAAAAAAATTTTAACTACAAAATAATCCTATCTAACAATGGACAAACATGGTAATTGACCGTACCTTCACTACATCTCCCACTGGCTAATCAGCGTGATATGCAAATTAACCACCAAAAAGATGGCAGCTAATTTGCATACTGCAGGCAGGAAGGTTCAGCGCCATCCTACCTGCCCCACCGCCATCAGGGCCTGCTATCTATGACCTGAGGTGGCAGGCATCTGTGTGCGACCTGACCCGGGGCAGCCAGGCGGGGCAGCAGCAATCTGCCGGCCCACCAGGGGCATCCGTGTGTGAACTGACCTGGGGCGGCGCCCCAACCCCCAGATCGGCCCTGCCGTGTACGCGACCCGGGGAGGCGGGACAGGCACCGAGGGATCGGGCCTGTCATCTGCCACCAGGGGAGCGGGCCTAAGCCAGCAGGTGGTTATCTCCCGAGGGGTCCCAGACTGTGCGAGGGCACAAGTGGGGCTGAGGAACACCCCCCACCACCACCCCTCCGCCTCTAGGGCACACATTTTTGTGCACCGGGTCTCTAGTAAACTATAAAATGGAGCCGAGATTAAAGAATACAATTCTCTGAAAAATCCACTGGATGGGCTTTAGTGGATTACACACTTCCTAACAACACTGAGTTTTGGGAAATATAGAAACTATACAAACTAAAACACTCAGAGAAAAACTGGGGGGAAAAAACAACAGCGTCAGTAATCTGGGGGAAATGTTATGCAATTTCACACACACACCTGAAATTCCAGAAACAGGGGAAGGAAACATAAAAAAGTTTTTTAATAAAAATGGCCAAGATTGACCATTAAAAACATTAACCTCCTGACCCAAGAAGCCTAACGGACACACTCTGTATATGGTTAGGGTGGAGAAGAGAGCATGTGGGGAGAGAGAGACCCAGGAGCATTAACACTTTACTAACTATTCTAGATGCTCTCAACTTTTATAATTAATAAGCAGAATGAATCAACTAAACCTCATGCCTTAGAAATAATAGTATAAAGCACATCTTAAAATAAATATTACTTTTTCAAGACAATAGCAGGATAATCACTACAATTCAAAGACAATAGATTTATAGAGTCAATTTCTTCAGGTAACACTTGAAAGGCAATTCTGAAAGTATTTAAGTATTGGCCCATATGTACAATTATCCTGACAATATTTGATTAATTATAAGAATTGGAAGCAGCATACAGTGGGGCCTTGACTTACGAGTTTAATTCATTCCGTGACAGAGCTCGTAACTCAAATTACTCGTATGTCAAATCAAAAAGTGAACAAGTGAGACACGTGATGCTGGGCTGATGTTGTGGCGTTCACTGTGACGTTCGCTGCGCCAACTAGCGGTGGGGTATCTGAAGCTGGCTTGTAACCCGAATTTTAGCTCGCAACTCAAAGCAAAAAATCGGCCGAGAGATGGCTTGTATCTCAAAAAACTCGTTAGTCAGGACCCTCGTAAGTCAAGGCCCCACTATACTACCCAAATCAAATGTAACTGTATTTTTTGTTACGTCATTTAAATGTAAGCATATTTACCTTAATACTGACACAGTATGGATGGTAACACTGCCCACACTGAGAACAGGCCAGTAATCTTCCCTCTGCTCCTTGGCCAAAACTGCCACAAACTACGCACATATCCTGAAATTAAGAACATGTGAACATAAGTATGTACTAAAATTTTATAATTTTATAGTATGATTCTTAACTAGCACAGCTCTAGAGCTAGATATCAGATGGCTTCGGTGCACATGAGATAAAGAAGAAGTGGGCAAGGAGGATTCAGAAGTGGAAAACTGGAAATAGCTAAGTTCAAACCTGATGCAAAGTGAACTTGTCACTACTAGAAAACAGCACAACCGTATTGTGCATGGAGTTTTCTTCTTCATCCTTATTCGATGAAATATCAGCAGCAGACACCTAGAAAAAGCAAAAAAGATAAAATATCATGACCAAGGAGTGTTTATCCCAGGAACGCAAGATAGCTTTAGCACACAAAAATCCAATTGATGTAATTCAGCATATTAGCAAATAAGTCACAGGATTATTTATAAAATTCAGAAAAGGCATTTGAAGAATCCAACATCTACTCAAAATTTAAAAAAAAAAATCTCAACAAATTATGAATAGATAGTAGCTTCTTCAAACTGATTTAGGATGTCTGTTAAGAAAAACAAAACAAAACTAGAGCTAACACCATATGTTATGACAAAAGATTAAATGCTAACTCCCCAAGATAAAAAACAAGGTTACCTGATTTCATCCCATCTACCCAACACTATACTAAAGGCAACAGCAAATGTAATAAAGCATGAAAATGAAATGACATAAAACTTTATTTGCAGACATAATTGTGTATGCACAAAATCTACAAATGAATTCTACAAATATGCAACTAGAAGCAATAAGGGAGTTTTAGTTAAGGTTGTAGGATACAAAATCAATATGCAAAAATGAATATTGTCTCCAGATAGTAACAACCACAATATGAAATTAAGACATTACCATTTACATTAGCATAAAAAAATATGGAAGACTTCACATGAATCGAGAAATGGTGTGAGAAATCTGTATGTTAAAAACTAAATAACAGCATTGAAGAGAAATTAAAGACCTAAAACATGAAGAGATACACAAAGTACATCGTTAAAAAGCCAATTTCCCCCACACTGATCTGTTGTTTGAATTCAAACCCAACCAAGATCCCACCAGACTTATTTGTAGAAATTGACAAGCTAATTCTGTAATTCATACAAAAATATGAAGGATTTAGACTGGTCAAAACAACTTTCAAAAAGTTGAATAGTCGAAGACTAATGGTGTCTGATTTCAAGAGTAGTTATAAAGTAGAAGTGATCAAAACAGCCCAGTATTGGATTGCCTAAAGATAGAGAAAATTTAGAGATTCCAAAATTAGATCCACAAATATACAGATAACTAACTTTCATGAATGATACAAAGGCAATTCAGAAAATGGTACTAAAACAACTGGATATTCAGTATGCCAAAAAGTAAACTTTGATCCATACTCACACGAGCCATAAAAATTAACTCAAATTGGATCACCGATCTAAATGCAAAATCTAATACCACAAAACTGCTAGAAGAGCCCTAACTGGTTGCTCAATGGATAGAGCGTCGGCCTGCGGATTGAAGGGTCCCAGGTTTGATTCCGGTCAAGGGCATGTACCTTGGTTGCGGGCACATCCCCAGTAGGGGGTGTGCAGGAGGCAACTGATCGATGTTTCTTTCTCATCGATGTTTCTAACTCCCTCTCCCTTCCTCTCTGTAAAAAATCAATAAAATGTATTTTTTAAAAACTGCTATAACACTGAATACATTTCTAACATTTCTCAGACACCAAAAGCACAATCCACAGAAGAAAATATATTGGACTTTGTCAAAATTAAAGCATCTGGTCTTCACAAGACATAGTTTTGAAAAGAAATGAATTTGCATTCTTAAAACAGGACCAGAACCCATGTTTCTTTGCTCCTTCAGTAGTAAAATTAAACAATCCCACCTGACTCCTGAACTTAAAATGACAATTAGAATTTGAAAAACGGGATTTTAAGGGAATAGTTACTGCAGGAAATATTACCTGCCAAATAGTCATCGTTGTTTTTTTAAATATATATTTAACTAAAGCCTCATCAAGTGTCAACAAACAAATATTTTTCAACCTTAAAATGTCCCAAGTAGTCATAAAATCCTCCACATTTTAGAGTCCGTACTAACCTGCAACATCTCTCATTTCTTCTGTAAACCATTTTATATAACACTGAGAACAGCTCCAATCAAAAACTTAAATGCCAACAGAATTTTTTCAAGTAAACAAGAATATGACAGGAGTTTGCCCTTTTTTAAATAATAAAGAAAATATCCATTTGGATTTGGGAGGAGTGTTAGCATAGAAAGAACAGTGTCAAAAAAAAAGAAGGCAAGAAAAAAGAAGAAGGATTGGAAAGTAGAAAGCCTGACCAGAAGTGTTTAAGCAAAAACACAGTAAAATAATGTTAGCCTATTTATGTGACTCTTAACATCTACATAATTGCTATCCAAGAGATTACCATCATCAGTCGACGTGTTAAGGATTACAGTGAACAGAAAGAAGGAGAGCCTTACCCCGGGTAGCACAACTGTCCCCATTCCACTTTTCAATTTGGACCTGCCTCTGCCGCCACGGCCGGACAGTCCGGCACCTCGAGGTCTCCGCTTTCCTGGAAACCCCGACCCACGGCCCTACACAACAGATAAGGAAAGGTCAGCATTCTGTACAAGCCCCAAAGAATTAGAAAAATTAAATGGGAGGCAAAAAATCTTATTAAATGTTACACATATAGTTTCTTCTTTTTTTAATTTTGATCAGATAAATATTGAGATATCAGGGTTATTACTTGTGTCTTTTAACATATATTCTGCAACTTAAAAACATAAACATAAAATACGTACAACCTCAGAGTCAAACTTCAGGTCTGTCGGTTACAAATGCCCTACACCTGCAAACCCTGGCCTTATTTTTCCATTGCCTAACCCTGCATTCCAGATGGCTAGAACATCCACAGCCCACCCAAGTATCTCCATGTGCAACACCTGTAATCAATATACAGGAAGTATAAGGAGCTACTCTGGCTACCTGGTCTCTCAGTAATCATGGTAAGAGCTAACCTGCTGAAGACTTACTAGGACTATCTTAGCATGTTTTACTCTCAATAATCTTATAAGGTCAGTCCTATTTTATTATCCCCATTTAAGAGACACAATGCACTGAGGGATGAAAGGTGCAATAACTTATCAAAAGCCACAGACCTAGCAAGTCTGGTTCTTAACCACTATTGTGAACTGCCACATTGCACGAAAGCTAATTTTTGCTAGTACACAATAGTATTTCTTCTAGCCATTAAAATTGTCAACTTCTCTTACTATTCAATAGTTGTCTGTATGGACTGAACATGAGTGCCTCATTCTACTATAGTATTTAGAGTGCAGTTTAGTTATAGGTAGGAAAATGGTGGAAGTATTGCTTTGAATCATCTAGATAATAATTACTTAAAACAGAAAAAAATTTATCTGAATTTTTTTCCCAACACAAGAAAAAATTCTATGGGAAAACACGTTAAATTCCCAGATATTTTAACAAATAAATACTAGAATTATTTGTTGTGGTTTTCTTTTTCTTGTTTATACTCAGACTTATCTATTACTACCTCAAAAACCTAAAATTTACATATCCTTGTATGTATTTAAATTTATGCCTGGCTGGTGTGGCTCAATGGTTAAGCATCAACCTATGAACCAGGAGATCACAGTTTAATTCCCTATCAGGGCACACGCCCGGTTTGCAGGCTCAATCCCCAGTAGGAGGCATACAGGAGGCAGCCAATCAATGATTCTCTCTCATCATTGATGTTTCTATTTCTCTCCCTCTCTCTGAAATCAATAAAAATATATTTTAAAAATATATTAAAATACTCAAGAAAATCCTTTGCTATTTTTTCCCTAACAAGTTAAATAGTATTTATGTTCAACTGATCTCACTAATCACAGTTTGAAATGTTGCACTCATTACCCATTTAGCAGAACAGTTTCAAAGTCAATAATTAATGATTATATTGTGAGCATAAGACACATACATATGAACAAAAGGGGAGGAAGTAATCTATTTCCTCCTTCAGTTTTAATAAATCCTTCCAATTTTCAAACTGCCCCTCCTTGTCCTCTAGATCTCTGAGCTTCTTTGAACAAGGGGTAGTGTAGGGCTGACTTGGATAGCTTCTTCTTGTTCTTTTAATAGGTATGAAACAATTTTTAAAACTTAAGTCAAAGATTAAATGAAGACTGTAATAATCTCACAATTTATTTTTCCCCAACATCCAATGACACCAGTGAAAATTGGTGGTATTTGCTTCAAAACTGTCAAACAAGTCATCTTTAAACACTTAAAAAAAATACTTATACTTTCAACACCTTGCATAATATCAGAATGAGTTAAAAAAAAAATCTTCCAATGCTGACAGAAAATTACAAAGTGGAATCTACAACTCCTTTGAAATCTTTGATTCATCTAAAACACCCTTATTCCAGAATTACATCAAATGTAGAAGATAAAGGAAAACTGTGTTCTTTAGTCAGTAAAATATTTCAACTTTTCAGATGATTAACAATTTTCAAATTATTTTTTTACTCTTCAAAATGCATCAGACTAAACTTACTTTAAGAACTAGGGAGTTACCCAATGACATGGAAAAGGCCCTATAATTGTGAGGTTAACACAGCCAATGAAATCTGCAACGACTCTGGTATTTCTTCTTCACTATTACATTAATAGCTTAGTGTCGTTTTTCTTTTGTAAGCAACGAAATTTTATGATATCACAAAAAATAACCAATAACTAATTGCTTCATAGCCTCTGTGACAAGGATTTGACCCATACTGTTAATTACAACATAAAAGGAAGAAACCATGGAAAAGGTATTAAAAATTTACACTTAAAATGAGATGCAAAATTACAATTTAATTTCCTAATGCATATTTTTAAGTGCAAACAGGTTGTCTCTTCATTATCAAAATTTTTAGGTTAAAGACGTGGCTCTGAAAGCTGAACTAGTTAGAAAAGAAAGGTTCAATTCTGAACTTCTACTTGGATAAGACCAGAAAGAAATGATACATGAATGTAAATGCAATTTTATTTACCACTTTGATGCTCCAAATGGCACTGCCAGGAAGCTGCCTGGGTTTAAAAATTTCCCGACCTTCTGAAATGTCTGGGGACCAGGAAGGTGGGCTCACTGTATTATGGGTACTCCAAGCCCCCTAGGATATGGCAGGTGAGAAAATAGATGTGTAAAACTCAGCAACATAAAAGGTCAAAGCCAGCAACTAAGGAATTTTAGAACAGCAAAAACAAATGCAGACGTGTGGAAATTTAGGACAAATTGCTTCAAGTTAGGGAAAAGAAGCTTATCACTTACAGTGACTTTATACTTAAATGTTTGCAGCTACAAATTACATTCAATATTTTATTCTGGTTGAAACATCAGCAAAAGGAAACATCAAAAATTAAGGTTTATATGAAATCAACACTGACTTATGCATTACAATTATAACACCAAGTATAAATAAAAGGCAAACTCTAAAACTAGCACTATAAGAAACTATTTGGGGATTACTTTCTTCTAACAATAGTCACTCCACTGGAAAGGAGAATAGATAACCTTAAAGAATTCATGTAACCCACTGCTATAACAACCCAACCAGTAGGCAAAAAAAGCAATCAGAAAATGCAATAAAAAAAATGAGCAATCAATAGACACATTCATTTTAAATTGTGGAAAGTTAGTTTGTAACCTTCAGATGCAAATACCATTATAATCCTAGCATCTAATTACTCTTCCTTCAATGACCATTCATTGTGAGTTTTGGTTTGTAGTTAAGGGACTTAGATTACATACTAGGGATTAAGTTGAAAACTGAAAATGTTAAAGCAATTGTCCTAAATTTGCCAATTAAAATGCCTAAAGTATCTGATTATTTATACAAGAAATAGTAACTTATTAGAATAGTTACAATAAAACTAAGACATTTTACTACCAAATCACTACATTCAGCAATAATCTGAACTAATATGATGAAAACGCTAAGCAACATGAAGAAAAATGTTTACTCCACAAAAATAACACTTTAAAGAAAAACACAAAATAAATGTCAAACAATAAAGTACTTATTTTGAATTAGGTAATTCAACAATGCTTAAACTTTAGACAACACAGTACTTACCAGGTTTCTAGAATATTATCAAACTACCACATAGTAACCTATTAATCACATAAAAATACCACTGGGAATTTAAATAATCAACCAAAAAGAAGAGCTTGACTATCCTGTGTGGAGCAGATAGTTAATGGGAAAACAGTATTTAAGGAAAAACCACGGAGGAAGAGACTGCACTTTTAATCAATCTACCTACCTCCCTTCTAGCTCAGCTAAAGGCTACACTGCTCTCGCTCACTTCCCCACTATGAGTCTACTTCCTGCAGACCTGTCTTCTTTCCTGCTGGGTCCAGGTCTTTGGTAACCTGTTGTCACTGAAAGCCCTTTCTCTATGCCTATTTACTCAAACTCTCAACATCCACAGAGCTCTGCTGGGTTCGGAGCAGCCCCCTGTGAAATGGTTCCCTGCCGTCTGCTGCCAAACTTCGACCTTCATCAGTTGCCACGCAAGTTCTTCCTCCACCTGCCCTCCAAAGCCCTGCCTCTCCCAGGGCTGGAGCTGGACAACCTTCTCCTCACACAGTCTTATCCTGAATGGTCTTGTTGGCAATGAGGGCTGGAAACACCCAGATGGATCTGTTGTCTCACAAGTTCACATGTTCTGAGAGAACTTCCCTCTTAGCATTTCCATTTTCTCACATGAAATGTCTCAAGTTTACCATGTCTAAACTCTCTCCCTTCACCTGTCCCCTCTCAGACTCTAACCCCTTTTAGAAGTGGCTGGGAGTCATGAAATAATTCTCTTCCCTACTCACTCTGCCGCTGCCTCCTCAATCCTTTCTCCCACCACTCCTTCAATCCAAACCACTGGTAAATCTGGTTCATTTTAGCCTCCAGTCTCTTCTCTGATCATTCTGCTTCTCCGTCCCCCACTGCCTGGCCCAACCCCACTCGAAAAGGCCTCAACTTTTTTAGCCTCTTCTTTGCCTGCATCTCCTCAAGCCTTTACCCATGCAGCAGCCAGAAAGGCTTTTCAAAAATTCAAATCTGATCAAGCAAGTCACTACTGCTGTAAACCATTCAACAGTTCTCAGTGCACTTCAAACTCAACCTTGCCCACTGCCTCTCTCTAACCTCGGCGTGTAGCGCTGTCCTGCTGCCCACCCACCTCGGCTACCCAGGCTTCCCGGCTGTCCTTCAAACATGCCTCACTCTGCATACAACAGAGCCCTGCTAACTCAGAACAATTCCAACTCTGATGGCTGCTTCTTCCGATTCCTCAGGTATGACCTTAATATTTGCTCATCAGCAAGGCCCTTCCTCAAATGAACCATCATTTCCCTTACCACACCTTTGTATCTTCTCATTGGTCACAATTTGGGCTCATATGTTGTATTGCTTCTAATTATTTAGTGGTAGAGAGTAGAGGCAAGAGATGTGTGAATTAGTTCTCAATAGTTCAACTGGTTTTTCTCTGAGGGTATCTGACTAATGTACATCATAAATTCCTTTTGGTAGATTGTTTAGGTTATGTCAATAAGCAGTTCTTAAAACATATCATAAAAAGTTATACTTGATAATGTTAAATTATCCATCATAATTTAAAAGTTGCCTTTGATGCCAAAACTACTGTCATTCTAAAAAGCATTCATGTTTCATAAAATATGGACAAAATGAAGGGTTCTATGGATCAAGAATGTTTGGATGTCATTTCAGGGATGATTGGAAAACCACCCAACTGCTATGAAGAACTTATATAATAAAAGCTTGGGTAATTACATTATGAATTTTAATAAGTACATTATAAGACATTGGAAGATAAATGGTGTGCAATTTTATAGGAACAGAAGAAAAATTATAATATACTTAGATATTTTGACAAAGGAGAAATTATCCTTAGACCTTAAAACTGAAATTTAGCTGTAATTATTAACTTTAGTTATAAATTATCCTTCAGATCTCAGCTTTGATCAAAAAGAACAGACCAGAGGAAGTTAGTGTTCCCTGTCAACTGCAACATAGACTGCACTGTCGTTGCACTTGAATTTACACCAACTACACTTGTATTTATTTGTTGCCATTGGCGTATAAAGCTTGATGAGAAGAGACTGTGCTCTTTCTGTTCACTGCTGTGTTAAACATTCTGTTTAGCATTTATTGAACATGTATTTTTTTCTCCTACTTATTACTTTTTGCATGCATAAATGCATCAATAAACACTGTAGTATGGTATGAACCATACTAATTCACCCACCAGTTATTACCTAGAATCTTGGATTTCCTCATCTATAAAAAAAATTAATCTATCCAATGCTCTGTTATTCTTTATAACATATCTACAAAATGAATTAAAATAAAAAGGGTTCAAACTGTAGACAGCAGGAGACTTTCCGCTGTAAAGAAAGCCAAACAGAACCAACTTGCTATTAAATCATATAGAATCTTCTAAAAAATACTACTTGGCAGAGATTGAATTGATTCCAACAATTATTGAATCCAAAACCTATTTAAAGTTGTATTAATCTTTCTGCTTTGAGGCCAATTTCTCAGGTAAATTTATCAACCTAGTAAAGTATACAGCTGCCACAAGGACTGTGGAGCAGGGAGATGGGGACAGCGATGGCAGGGGAGGATCGGCTATTATGGGCCACTTTCTGTTAGAAGTCTAACCCTGTTGCTGGCTGTGAAATATGATCAACGCCATGCTTAGAGCCTAATCTACTGAAATCAGTTTTAGGAGTGGCCACAGAGGGTTTGGTGTCTCCTGGGCAGACTTCACATCTCCAGATCCTAAAAGTCAACCTGGGCCTACCCTCTCCCAGCATGCTATGCAAAACCGTAACAAAACAGAACCAAGGAAGCATAAAAGGATGAGTCTGGCTTAGAGAAAGTGAAAATGATGGAGAGTAGAAAAGAAAACTAGTAGGAGAAACAGAAAACATAAGTATTTATAATGTCTTTGGGGTACATACATTGACTCATACATATTACAGCCCCAGCAGCCAACACCTCAAAGCATTCTTTTCACATACATAAGTCTCATATTCAAAACAGAGGTCGGCATCAAACAAGAATTTTAGTCCTGACTTGAAGCATACCAGAAAAGCATAGAAACAGAATGTGAATTTGGCTGGTGCTAGCAATGCCTTTGTTTTGTTTTTATGTTTTTATTGATTTTGAGAGAGGAAGAGATAATAGAAACACCAATGATGAGAGAGAATCATCACTGATTCTCCTGCACACCCCCTATTGGGGACTGAGCCCGCAACACGGGCATGTGCCCTGACTGGGAATCAAATCAGTGACCTCTTGGTTCCTGGGTCGACGCTCAAACACTGAGTCACACCAGCTGGGCACTAGCAGTGGTTTTGGTAATGGCTTCAGAAATGTCATGATAGGCTTAAGGACACTAAGAGGAAAGTCTGATGCTTCTAATTTGTATGTGTGTTGGTTGACACCCCAAAGAGTTCAACATTTTTTAGGGTTAAAACTACATTTTAATTTCTCAATGGTTTAGAGTAGTGCTTCTTGGACTTGAGCCAGCATGGGTGTCTTCGTAAAATACACATTTTCACTCAAGTTAAAGTGGCCTCTGAGAGTCTGCCAGGCGATGTTGATATTCCAGGTCTGAAGGTCACACTTTAAGAAGCAAGGGTTGAGTCTTCAATTTTCCTAGAAAACAGGCCTGGCCTGCAAGCCTTGAGTATTTCCTATCGCCTACCCTGCTGGCACACAGTACCCTGCAGTCTTCTGTACTCTAGTACACATCACACACAGTATAAAAGTCTGTTGCGTCAGCCTATGAACCAGGAATCATGTTTGATTCCCGGTCAGGGCACATGCCTGGGTTGCAGACTCGATCCCCAGTGTGGGGCGTGCAGGAGGCAGCCGATCAATGATTCTCTCTCATCATTGATGTTTCTGTCACTCCCTCTCCCATCCTCTCTGAAATCA